CATCTTTTTAAGTGGGAGAACTTGCACAATTGGTGGCTGACTAAATACTTTTTTGCCCCACTGTACTTGCGTAAGTATACTGAACACTTTGAAGGCAGCGCAGGGAGGTTTATGGCACTGACTGGCTTTAGAAGATTGATATACAACTGTCTTGCCAACTACTCTTCTGATCCTTTGCAGATGCTTTGGTGCCACCAGACTGGGTGCCAGACAGCACTTGCAGCCACTGTATGGCTTGCCATGTGCCTTTCACCTTTCTTCGGCGACGGCACCACTGTCGGAGTTGTGGGAAGGTAAGAGATCTGGGCTACTTTGGGGTACACCCAGCTAGCATGGGCTAGGAGTCAAGAATGCTGGGAGCTGTGGTTCAGTGACATGTACTATAGTTCATTGATTAGATTACTTTCCAAAAAGATCCTTTCTGTGTCCAGAAGGGGGATTGGAAATGCAGGATCTTCAGATGAGACAAATTGAAAGAGGCAGCCTTTTCAGGTGGTGGGGACTGAGCTACCAGGCAGATTCAGAGCAGTAAGAAAGAAGCAGTGGAGTAGCCTATCATGTAAAAGAATGGACTAAATTACAGCTTGTTGGGTAATCCTGTGTTGGGCCTTAGGCTGAATTATGACTGAGTCTTAGACCAGGGTTGTTATCCTTTTTATTGCAATCTGCTTCATTGGATGTTTCTAGTCATACACACATAAATTTATTAAATTCAAGTTCATACATAAGTTCATTACTACTTTCTTTCATCCAAAGGAAGTGAGGCTTGTTATCAAGTTGCTCTTGATGGACATTTTCGCATTTTTTTCTCAGATCTTCTGCTCTCGCTGCTCATCGCACTTGGCAGCGCTGCCCCATTTTAGGCAGCTGAAGCCAGTCCGGATCTGTACACACTGCTATACTACCCACTTGCCTTCGACTAATAAGAATGCTAGTTGCCTGTGAGCCTCAGTCTCTGGATGAGGGCTTTGTCAAACACCATCTGTGCCTGAGGAACCTCCAAGAACTGGAAGACAACTGCAGCTTGGGTCACCAGCAAAGGACTGTGGGAGCAATCACACCTGTCTTACTAGGATTCTCCTCGGAGTAAAGCAAAGGGCTTTTGGTTGTCAGGGCAGGGGTTGGGCTGGAGGAAGAAGCACCATGTTCTCATAAGAGGGGATGAACTCTTCCATTTTTATAATAAAGAACTCTTGGGATTTGTGGGGTTGGAGCTAGAATTTATTATGAAGAAGTCTGAACAAACTCTTCTATATACTAATAAAGCCTGCTTTTTCTATGATGGAATGAACTCTGGCCCATGTAGAAATTGCTTGGTGCTATTTACCTAACTTCTGGTAGAGCCTAAGGATAATTTATTGTCCTAAGGTTAGTTTTTGACAAAAAATGAGATTGTGTTACCAGATTTGGATGCAAGTGCAATAAGGTATTTAGGATACTGCTGGTTGGAACTGAAAGGCAGGACCTGGATTTCCAGCAATAACTTGTGGAGGACAGCCATGACATTTTGTTTTTCAGCTTTGATGTAGCCAAGAGCTGCAACACTGTTCATATGCAATGTATGTTTGTAAACTTTTATGCCGCATTCTGGGAGATGCTTTGGAAACTTATCTGGGATTAATACAACTCTTTCTGAAACCACTATGAGCTGGTTAACTGCCTGAAAACTTGGCTAGACTGGAAGCTCTCTCTCGCTCTCTCCCTCCCTCCCCTCCCTCCCAGAAGAAAGCAATGCAAATCACTTCCATAATACTGCCAAGAAAACTGCATGGATGCAGCCATGAGGAGTCAAGTTTGACTTGAATAAACTAACTTTTTACTCGAAAAATGCTGTCTGTTACTATTGCCAACTTGTGTACTCTGAGTTCAAAATACAGTGGTACCTCGGGATACGAACGCCTCTACTAACGAACGTCTCGGGTTGTGACCAACGCGGGATACGTCCAGAGTCACGGAACGGATTAAGTTCGTATCCCGAGGTACCACTGTAACTGCTTTTGCTGGATTTAGCTGTTGGGTTGCTATTGGGTCTTGACAAGACAGAATCTAATACTGCACTTTCCTCCAGGAAAGTGCAAATACAGATTCTACGAACCTTGTTGCTGTGCTGTTTTTCTTTTTTCCCCTCATCTCAACCAGAGGATTTTGTGTATTGGTGAGCTTGTGTGAATGTGTGTGGCTGCAGTGCCTGTCTTTATGCACCAGAGAATCTCTCTGATATCAGTTGAATAGCAAGTGCCAGGGTTTATTAATTGCACACAGGCGTATGCATGCCTTCCAGCCCATGAGTTATCCATGGGGAGCTTAAAGGGGAGCTTAAAACACCTGCTTGAAATGAGAAGAGATTTTGACATTCTCATGCCTGAACATTATAAGAATGATATTTAACATTATTGATAGAAGTAGTATATAGATCTCTATTAACAGTAACATGTAAATCAATATTTCAATAATCTTTCCCTGCTTGTTGTCTTTCTTGCCTAACATCTGCACAATTTGTTCATAATCAGGGAAACCCTCTATTTTTTGATAATTGTCCCCTAATTGCATTGCTGATATGCAGCAAAGATGCAGTGTCACTGTATTTTTAAAAAATGGAGGGAAGTATTATTAAAAAATGTTCAAGCCGTATCCATCTACAAATTCATTCCTAATTCAGAAATATATTGAGAGAAGTGCAAGGCTATACTTAAACCAATTAGAGAAAAGGGCCATAAGAATTAGAGTATAAACTTTAATATGCTCCTCAAGTATACAGACATATCCGTTAAGATACCATCTTATCCTGAATTTGCCATTTCTCATGCTGCAACTGTATAAAAATTGGTTTTTCACTGAAAAATATGGCATATTACAAGAAGACTCATCCCATTCCAATTTTTAAAAACGATGTCTAGGTGAGAAGAATGAAAGAAGGTACAGTGGTTGCACGTGTTCATTACACACCCTGTCTTTACAGTTGTATGTTTCAAAGATGTGTTAGGGAGTACAGCCCCCCCCCCTTTAATTAAATACTTACGGAGCTTGGATTCTTCTAATACATCTTTACACTAGATCCTTATTGTCAGGATTTTGCCCATCTGGCTGAATGAAGTTGCTTCTGGACTGCTGCTTTCTGTCCCTCACATCTTGCCAGTTACGCCAGGGCCAATACAATTTTGCTTTGTAACAAATGGCATTCCTCCACCCGCTCCTTCCCAAATCAAGAGCGATGGGAGCTGAGGCAGAATATCCTTAGAACCTCTCCTTGCAGGCAGTAAGGGTACAAAAATAAATGGCTAGCAATAGATGATGCTTTTTCATGATACCTAGCATAAGTTGCCTAAGGTGATTTCTCCTGCCTACCAGTAGGGCTGTCTGTGAGTGTAAATTGGAATGGTTTTTCTATAAAAGGTAAACACAACTCCATGCCATAATTGTTTTTAAAGATAAAAACACTTATGTGCAGGAAGCTGTTTATGGATGATGATGATATTTATTAAATTTATATGCATGCTGCCATACTCCCAGCAATTCTCATTATCTGTGGAATGTCTTAAAATGTAAGCTAAGGTTGCAGTCCTATATATGAGGAAGTTTAAGGGGGGTGGGTTACCTCTGAGGGTAAGATTATGCTGTAAATTTGTAGCAGGTGTTTTTTTTAGAACAGCACCTATTAATTGTACAATATGGGAATTGTAATCAAGCATAGCTGGAGATCATCAGGTAGAACAATATGGCTTCTGGACTTTTTATAGCAGCCGCCAGCTTTGTTGCAGAGAAATAGTCTGTTCATATTAGTGATGTATCACCAGCACAGTGTTGCCTGAATTATTCCATAGAATAGATTATAACTGCGTATTGCTTAAAGGAGCAGGTTGTCATACCTTGCATTTTCATGTTCTGTATGAGTCTTCTCTTCTAAATAATTATTTTCCTCCCTAAAAGTAGTACGGTATGTGTTGATCATTTTTTTCTAACTAGGTACACGTTAGCATACACCCCCACCCACACACGGATGCGTGCCGGCGGGCATTATTCCTGCAGAGCATAATTATTCTAGATCAGACCGGTCAGTGGATATTTTACCACGCTCTTTTTTGTTCACTTGCTATGCACGCACATAGAAGTCTGTAACTTACAAAAGCAAAGGACTCTAATTTACAAAAACGAGCTGTTCCAAAGGAGAGTTAGAACGCGTCCCATTGAAATTCCTCCAATCAATAAGGAGAGCGCTGGCCCCGCCCTCCGTTCAAATATGAGGCCTCATCATTACCCGCCCGAATTTGCTTTGAAAGGGCGGTGATGGATAAACGCCTGGTCACGTCTTCCAGCCAATGATAGCGCTGGTTTCCCTAGCCACGCCCAGCACAGGTTAAGATTCAAAACAATGCAGCGGTGGTTGCCTGAGCCTAAGATCGGGAAGGGGGCTGAGGGTCTCGAGTCGGACGATTCAAAGACGAAAGCAAGCAAACCGCTTAGCTTCATCCTGGCTTGTGCTCTGTCTGAAGGTGCTCCAGGAATACCTACTGCGCGGATTCGAAGGGGCGGGGTCAGAACCTCGGAGCGTTCGAAGGGGCGGGATATGGCCTGGGGTGGTTGCTGAAGGCGGTGGGCTGGTTGCGTTATCAGGGCCACAAAGTTCCTACTTGCCTGGATACCCTGTTGTCATGGAGCTCACGACTAGCAACATTCAGGTGTTGCTTCAAGCGGCCGACTACTTGGAGCGCAAAGAGAGAGGTATTCGTTATTCTCCAGGGGCGGCGCGTAGATTGCCTTTGGAGGGTGGCTGAACCGGGTCTCCTCGGTAGGAGGGGAGCGAGCGGGCGGGCCGGCGGGTTGTTTTCTTAGGAAAGGCGGGGGCAGATTGGAACCTCTAAAACGTGTTTATATGTATTTTATACACACACACATACATACATACATACATAAATATATAAATTATATATATATATATTAGAAGCCGAACACGGCTATGCTTCTCTCTCGCCTTACTGCGGGCAAGATGCGTTACAGTCGCAGAGGAGACCGAAAACGCGAAAGGCCCTGAGGACCCTCCGGTAAGGTTTCTTCAGCTAGACCTTGGGCTGGTTCACGTGTTTTGTTTTTTTCCTTTTCTTCTGACTGACTGACTGACTGACAGGAGGGGGAGTCTGATGGGGGAAACCAAGTCTTGTGAAAGAGTTGCATTTCCTCTAGACCAGGGGTCCCCAAGACCTTTTTAGGGGGTCTGCAATGTCAAATAAATACTTTAAAATTTCTGTTTTAATTTCTAATGCAGTAAATTTTGATAGCTATCACCCACATAAACCAAAGCTATTTGGGGTCCTCAATCATTTTTAAGAACATAAAGGACCAAAATGTTTGAGAACCACTGCTCTAGACCAAGTTTTTCTCTTTTCTTTTAGTTTCTTATATCTTACATTATGAGGAAATTATTTGGAACAGCACTCACATAGAAGAAAGGTACTACTACATGGGAGTGTGGTAACTAATCCTTTCCAATGGAAAGAACAGGATGTTCTGTAGTCAAAAGGAAGTGGAGGTTGGGAGTGAAATTTAAGCAGGGCTTAACTGAAAGCACGATTGTCAGAATATTAGGAAGTATTTCATTTTTTTTTTTTTTTAGTAAAAATCAGATTGACTATAGTTTAAGAAAACCAGACATCTTCCTTCTGTGTTTCTGAATGACCTAGGTGCTTCATAATGCTTTTCCACTTTGCCCTGAAGTATATGTAGACTTGGGTTTAAGATCTTGACTTTGAATCTTATAGACTCCATTATATAATGCCTAAATATTGACAGATGAAGCATAGTTCATATTTGTTCACCTCCTTTAGGATTATACAAAGAGTGAGGATATTCTTCCCTAATATTTAGGTTACTGGTATTCATATTTATTTTTTTGAAATTGATTTTGCCACTATTGCATAAGCTTAAGATTCTGTCTTCTAGCAAGTCCAGTGAGTTGTTTTTCTTTTGAACGGAAGAGATAACTGACCCCTGTCTTACTCCTTCCTTACACAAAAGAAGAAGGTTGAAATTAAGCATAAGAGATTTTGCTGTGACTGAATATGCTGTTAGTTTGCTCACCAAATGATGTCAATGGAAGCAACTATCAATTTTTGGAGATTAAATGTAGCCCATCAATTTTCTTTTCTATTTCCTTTCAGGTCTGTACACAATGATTTGGAGAAACATAGGTACACTTATGGAGAAATATTGTCTTAATTGCTTTGTTTAAGCTCCTCCCCCCCCATTTTATTGCCTGGGGATGAAGGATGAACTCATTTCTGCCTGGTCCTAGCTATATTCATAGCCCCAATTCCTCCATTGATTTTGAGGGTTAGTTCTTGATTCAGGCTCCAGGGTCATCATTTAAGAAAAGTTTTCTTTCTGAACCAGGAAGTGATCTGTCTCCCCCAATGAAATTACTGTGATTAGTAGATGGCTTTGACAGATGGCTAAACCCATGGGTTTAGCTCCCTGCTTTGCCTGAGCAAGCCTACTGTGGGCTTGCACAGACAAAGTGTGAGCAAGTCTTGACAGTGCCATCACTTTCAAGTTCAATTAGTTAAAAAACCATACCTTCTCTGAATTGTGACCAGAAGATTGTGACTCGTGTCCAAACCCCTGAATTATGGAATGATTGAGACCAGCCATATATTGATGATTTACTCTTTGGAGAATGTGGTTCTATCTTGGTCTGGAGGCTAGAATTTGCTTAAGGCTTTACCTAAAATGTGATTGTCCACAATCTGCTTTTCTTCTCTCCAGAAGGGCCCAGGTACGGCAGTGTTTAGAACAGCTGAAGCAGCAGATCCCCACAAACACAGAGCATTCCCGTTGCACGATGCTCAGTCTCCTGCACCAAGCCAGATTGCACATTAAAGTAAGTGATGTACCTCACTCCTTTCAGGAGGCTGTAATAATATTGGGGATAGCTAAAAATTGCCTTTCTTGCCTGGTTTAGTTAGTGATTTGCAAATGGTTTTAAGATTTGTAATTCTAATATTTTATTTATTAAAAATAACCCATGGCCTTTAAAATTGAACATAGGAAACAAAAAAAAATGTTTAAACATGATCTAGTTAAAGTAGTAAGTGGAAATGAATTAAAGGAGGAAAACCCCCTGCGAGCCTTCAAATAAGCTTAAGAACCAATGAGAACAAAGGGAGAAATCTAATTCCAGCCAAGAGTAACATGCTATAATTTCTTCAGTTTTGTGCTTAGGATAGACTAGCTAGCAAATGCTTTCAGCTGAATACAAGAATGTGGTTGCCTTTCTGTTTCTAACAGTGGCCAGTGTGATGCTTCTACACTTGAAATGAGAGCATCTCAATTATAACTCCAAATATTATTCTTGATCCTTCTTTCACTCCCAGAAACTAGAACATCAGGAACAGAAAGCTCAACAAGTGAAAGAGAGGCTTCGCCGTGAGCAGCAGAATCTGCACCAGCGCTTAGAAGAGTTACAGGGCCATATGAATATGGAACATACACGAGCAGATAGTCTAGATTGTTCTCAGTTCTCCTTTGAGCGCTCTGACTCAGGTGGGTACTGCCCAGTAATGATTCTAGTGCTATATTCTTATGATGCCAACAGGTTATCCTGCAAAAAATGCAGGGTCTGATGAGCAGAAAGTCTACTGGCTAAAGTGTTAATCATAAAAGTCACAGTAAATTTGGAGGTCACCTAGGTTGAGGATGGCTGAGCCAGGCCTATGTTTGTTTATTTTATAGGCCATCTGACTCCCAAGCAACTCTGGGCAACTTACAACTAAAAACCATTTTATTAAAAGAAAATATAGACCAGAAAAGCAAAGTACAGAAACAAGACCAATCAAGACTAAAAAAAAAAAATGGGGGTGTGTGGAAGGCTCCACAAAAGGATGGAAGCCTCGTGAATCTCAGGGTGGGAGAGATCATTATAGAGGGCAAGAATCGCAAGAGTAGGTGTGCTTCCTGGATCCTGCAAGATGACATTCTTTGACAGGACCCAGTGTGTACCCACCCCGCTGGACTAAACTGCATGGGCAGAGACAACAGGAGGTAAGTGGTTCCTCAGATAGCTGGACTCTATGCCCTCTTTTGAAAAGGAACCCCTTGTGCAAGACACTGCATTCCATTTGAATAAAATGATTATGCTAAGATTTTTTTTCTGTTGCAGAAGATGCTGAAGTGGATGTAGAAGGCCTGGTACCTACCAGCATTGGAGAAGATGTCATGGCTGCCTTCAGTACTCAGCAGGAGCACAGCTATTCCAATGTCAGCAACTTCTGGTTATGGACGGAAGTCCAGTTAGGAGGACAGCTTTCATCTAGACAAGCTTCAAGCCTTTCAACAATTCTTTCGTGGCAGAGTAACTGATACATGGTTTATAAGACTGTTTTCTGTAAGTAAAGAGGAACCTTTCTTGCTGCAAAGGACAGTGCACCTCCTGCTCATCAAACCAAGTCTTGCACCTCCACCTTCTTCACAAAACCAACTAGGGTAATTGCCAAGAGACTTATATAGAAGCTGGCTAACTTTCCTTGGTAATGTGTGGCAGGAGGAGGAAGAGTGAGGCTTCAAAGCATTTGACCTACACCTGCTATCTTGAAATATAGAATGGGTAGGTGCGTCTTATATCCCATACTGATAAAAGTTTATGGAGCAGATGAGCTCATTCTGCAGACTTGGGTTGGTAAGGATTCTCAATTAGGCCCAGAATTGATCATAGCATAGTTATTCCTTCTCTTTTTAAACAAAAGATATACTTAGCTTTGATCTGCTGGAGGATTAAAAAATCCATACCAGAATAGGTAAATGTTATGCTCAGCTGTTTTATATGAAATGGGTTCTGCCACTGTTAAATTGACTATGGAATAATAGTAAAGCTTTGCTTCAAGAGACTTTTGCCATTGCAAAATCCAGGTTTTTCAGATCTTCCATTTCCTTTTAAGCAATCCACCATAAGATATACTCAGTGGTGTTTTGATATTTTTAATTGTAACTTAAGCACAGAGTAATTTGTAATGTTTACTAACTAGTAGCTACCAATCCTCTTTGAGTTCTTATATACAAAGGCTTGCTTTCAAGTTGCATAAGAGGCAAGTGTAAACAGGAAGACAATTAAATCACAATACTGAAAATCATTGATTGTGAAAAACAGGTCCTGATACTGGAATAAACTGAAGTCTATTCTTTTAATGATAATTACACCTTTTAGAAAGAAGATGATTGTCAGATTTGTACAGTCTCAATTAAAAAAAACATAAAATCTATGGACAGTCTGGTCAACTCCCAAAGGAAGTGAAGCTTAGTTATAAGTGAACCTTCCAGTATTATTGTACCACTCTGTGCTAGTGGCATTCTAGCTCCTTCAGTGGGAAAACTGTTTCTTCACACATACTGTTGCTTCTTTGTAGTAGCTGCCTTGCCAGCAAAGTCCTTTGCCTTCTCAGTAACAGCCAAGGCAGTCTCCTTGGCAGTTTCCACCAGTGTTTTAGATGGTGCTTCACCTGTAAAATCAGTAAACCAAAAATTCAGGAGAATATATCCACCGTACTTACAGTGGCCTATATTTCAATTAAGGCTTACTATAATTTTTCTTTAAAATTCTAGTTTGTCCCTGTTTTAAAAAACACTGTATAGAACTTCTAATAGTTATTACCTATGTGGAATGACTTTATATTTTTAATATATACTTTTCTCCTTACCCCCACCTTAACTAAATTATCAGCCTTGTGGGAAGGTGGGGGGGGGAGAGAAAAAGAGCTCTATCTTTAATATCAGCTGCCTGAAGAAAGAGGTCACCTTAGGTCTCCACTCATCAGCACATTAACACTGAGCTAATTCAGCCCAGCAGAAGTCGTCAGTATTTCAGAACAAGTGCAAGATAACAAGAATGCCAACCCTACAGTCTACACTTTATATACTGCATTTTTCTTAATTGCTATCACAGATGTACCCACCTTGCATTTTGGCCAGCACGTACTCAAAACCTTTGGTAGTCTTGGTCACGTTGCTCTTGAACCTAGCCAAGCCAAACTCCTAAAACAAGAGAGCCAGTTGAGCAAGAAGCAAAGATATATATGTCTCCTCTCTATTCATTAGTAGAGCCTAAACATTGAGGAATCAGCCTGGTTCTTCAGCTAGATACCTAGTAATGCCAAATTGCTGTTTCTCATTGGTTGTCTCATGTTCTGTTACGTACACACAGACCTGTAGCCCTCTTACCTGGATAGCACGGGAAACACCAAAGAGGCGGGAGGACACCCAGGCTTCCCGCTTGACTTCTGTCCAGCTACTGTTTTCTGGGTTCTCTCTGTAAACACATCGCTCCTCCACTACCTGCAGGGAAGACAGCATTCCAAAATGACAATCACTTCCCCAAGTCTTTTGAGCCATTTTATGTAGCAGTAGTAGCTGCAGGTAGATGTAAAACAGTTTGCTGTTACCATAAGACGTGCATGATTAATGTTCCAGGTGAATGTGGTCATGGTTCGATTCTGCAGGTCCACAATGGAATCTTCTAGGATATAGACATGGCTGCCAACGTTAGGTGGAAAGAAGCGCTCTGCCCAACGGGGCATCCTGTTGGTTTTGGTTAGGAGCCTCCTGGAAAGCAGTTTCTGGTCTTCAGTCACCTCTCGGTGCAAGATATCTTCAGTCAGGACATGCTTGCTGGGCAAAAAAACCAAAAGAGCATTTAAGATACTATTCTATGTTGTGCAACTATAACTAAATGGCAGCATAACACTCCTATCTAGTCACACAGCTCAGTGGAGACAGAAAATACTATTTCTATCTGGATCCAATTTGCTTTCCACATCTAGAATCTATAGCCAAAGCACACCTTTCTTGATTGGGGGCAGAGAAGAAATGGAGAAGCATCACTGTGGAGTTCACTTCTGACAAGTATAATTTTACTAGCATTCATTTATTTTGTTGGTTATCTCTGAATCCACTGGGCAAGAGAAGTGGTCTCACGTTTAATTAGATCAACCAGCCTGGTACACATTGGCAGTATTTTATTTAAACCAAATACATATGTTAAAATGGAAGGGCAAAAAAAAAAAAAAGACAGTACAATGAGCAAGGTTAATCTTGGAGTTAATGAGATCAGGATAATAGGGGCCTTGCCTACTGGTTTGAGAAGGCAAGCAGGTGCTAACTAAACTTCCCTCAGGAGTATTATTCTACATTATTGGGGCATTCCCTACTAAGAAGGGCTCATTTTGACAACCACCCACCTCTTCTAGCATCTGGGCAACCCAAGTTAAAGAATTATTACTGATCATTTTATTCCCACAGGAATCTTTGGACTGACTTCTACACATACTAGCTAAGAACCTCCACCCTAACTTCCTACTAGTTCACCTTCCAACCGCAGTAGTTTAATTTTAATTTCTTTAAATTAAATCTCTCTAATTCCCTGAAGACGACGCCCGGATGGCCACAACCCAGCTCAGCACCCTTCCTCCCTCTAGCGGCGGCCTTAGCCACTAGGAGAAAGGAGGGCTCAGATTTACAATCACGCCGCCTTCCAGCTTCGTGAGCTGCCCGTGGCTTTGAGGTCATCCCTGGGCGGAATTCTAACTCGACGCAGAGCTCGCCAGATCTAGGGTGCAGCCGGTGCCATCCTCTTCCATTGGCGCCACACGTACTTACTCAGGAAGTAACCACAAAGCAGCTGCGGTTGTTAAATAGCAAGCAGGATGAATAAGACGGGGTTTCCAAACGGCAGCCCTTTACGTATTGCCCCAAAAGAAGAACCTGGTCCATGTAACTCGGCGTACTGCGGGGGAGCCCCCCACTCTCTCTGAGCCCCCCGCCAGGAGCCAGCAGCGGTTCAGCGCCGGTCCGGGGGCTAAGCCGAACACGAGGCGCAAGAGGGCCCAGCCCCGCGTGCTCCCCTCACCTGTAAGGGTTCGGGTAGCGCTGCCAAAAGGCGGTGAAGACTTGGTCCCAAGGCCCTTTCAGGACGCTGAGAGTCAGGAAGTACTTCCCCATCAGCTCCGCGGTCACCGATCCTGCGGGAGACGGAGAGGAGGAAGGAGCCGGCGGAGAGGGGGGCGTCACCCAGCTCGGCTTACTCCGACCCGGCTCACGGTCCCCCGCGGCCCCGCTCCCGCAACGCGGGCAGTGCTAAAGATGGCGGCAGGAGCAGCAGCTGCAGCTGCCCTGCAGCCGCCATGCAGAAACAGGGCAGTAGTAACGACTTCCGCGGGGCGACGGCAGCGCTTCTTCCGCCGCTGCCTCCTCCCCGCCCGCTTCCAGCCCATGCCCCGCCCCCTAAGCGCGCTTCCGCTCCCGGCGGGAAGCCCCGCCCCCTTCCCCGGTTATGCCCGGGGAAACTGCTCGGCCGAGGCAGCCCGCGAGGGGGTTGCCGCGTTGCTTTCCCTCGCCTCGTCTCCAGTAGGGGTGGCCGGCCGGTTCCAGCGACATGAGGCCGGGGTGAGTATCGTGCAGCGTCTCCCTCGGTACCTCCAGGCCTCGCGCAGGTCTGCTGCCCGTGCTTGGTCCTTGGGATGGTGGTCCCTGCCCGGCTCTCCGATGTACTGCTGAATGCACCGGGCGACGGATCCTCGAATCCAAGTAAGATCTTCCTTGTCGCTTCGGGGTTTCCCCGAGGCGACCCTGCCTGTCGAGCTGCTGCTGATGTTAGCTACTAATATTAGGCTAATATCTGAGCCGAAAGGCTAAAAAGCTTGTGGTTTTGGTCCGGTGACTTGTCTCCTTACAAGTAGGAATACTTAGCATGCTATTCCTGCAAAAAGGGGTGATAGGTCTTTTAATCCAAAGTGCCACCACTCATGAGGCCAGATGTGGGTTGCAGAAGGAACAGAAGAGAAGGATGTGGTCGGTTTTAGTCAAATATCTTTGCTCTTTTGTGCTGCTCTCTTGTAACGTGGAGGGGAGGGGATCTTTATGCTGTTCCTGAATCCCTGCACTTCCTCCTCTCCTTGCTGCAGGTGAACTTCCCTAGCTGAGCTGCACCTCTTTGGCTGCTCCCCCTGACTGAGTTGGGGGAGCCTGGGATCCCTCTGGAGGGGAACACTCGGCTGCAAGGGCAGGAGAATGAGTGGGCAGCGTGTGGATGCCAAAGTTGTGATGCTGGGCAAAGAGTATGTAGGCAAGACCAGCTTGGTGGAGCGATATGTCCACAACCGCTTCCTTGTAGGACCTTATCAAAATGTGAGTTTTTCTTTTTTGTGTTGAGAGTTTCTTCACTCAATTGGACTGAGTCCTTCTCAATTCCAGCCATTTCCTCCCCCAAATTTCACTTAGTTTGGACTCGCAGGCTTGATTTTTTTTTTTAATGTTGTAAACAGCATCTAGCCAATATTAGCTGATCTCTTCAGCTAGGCAGGGTTGGCCCTGGTTGGCATTCAGATAGGAAAATGCCTGGGAATTCCAGGGCTGTTGGCTAGATTGGGAAGTCCCTAAACATCCAGGAGGAAAGCAGTGGCAAGCCACTTTGCTAAGTGCTGCCGAGAGCTCCTCTTTTAAAGATTGTTATCTACAGAGTTGAGTTTTCTTGGTGCAGTCTCTTCTTCATTGGAATAGTTCATTCCCTAAGATCAGACTAGCCCCTTACCTTGCTGAGTTTTAGGAGAGCTGTAAAAACTTGGCTTTTAAAGAAAGCCCTGAGAGGGGATCTGATATAAGTTGAAAGCCCCACTTTAGGTTGGGCCTGGATATTATTATTCCTGATGACCTTTTTTATAATCTTCTGTTATTATTTTTGCTATTATAGTTCTGTTGGATTTGAGCAGCAATGAGTAAATACATACATACATACATACATACATACATACATACATACATACAT